TTTGGATGTGCAAGGTACCTGGACTAGACAAGCAATGGTTTCGGTGGCACCTGACGGGGTTTCACCATGATTGTACGCAGATCATCCACTCTGTGCTTAACGATTTCTCACCTTGCCTTTTTCTGGATGTTGGAGCCAACATGGGCTGCATCTCGCTCAGCCTTGCAAAGCGAAACTTCGAGATCATTGCAGTGGAACCTGGGAATCGGATAGCTCGGCTGCTGCGCGGTTCAGCTGCGAAAAACAAGCTGGAGGGCCGGATGGAAGTGGTGGAGGCAGCTGCTGGAGCATTCTCAGGCTCAGCCGTTCTTTACTGCCCTGTTGCCCCGTTGAACAACAGTGGCGAGTGCACGGTTTCTGGAGCATTGAAGGAAGGAGCCGAATACGAAGAGTACCAGGTTGCACAAGTGGCTGTGGATGACCTGGTGCCACAGAGCAAGAGGGTTTGCGCGATGAAGGTCGACGTCGAGGGCAACGAGGAAGAAGCTCTTCGTGGAGCCCGCAAGGTCTTGTCACAGAGACCTGCTGTTTTAATCGACATCCACGAGGCCATGTTAAGAAAGCGTGGCAAGAGCCCTGCTGGCGTTTGGGACTTGCTAAGCAGTTTCGGATATCAGCATCTTGTGGATCTTGCGAATCTTGACTGCCTCCAAGTGGGTCTCGGGCGTTGGCGGGACTTCCGCTGGCAAGAGGAAGACCATAAAGACCTGGACCCCTTGCTGACACTGGCGTCTCCAGTTGAAGACCCTTGCACTTGCTTCTTTGCGTGTGCCCATCGGATGTCCGCTGCCGCTGCTGGGATTTTGGACCTTTTGGACCTGCTGGATCGGCTGAAGTGCAGCCCTGGCAGCCCTGGCATCGGCCACAGTTGCGACACTGTTTTTTTGTGGCTAAGAGTCTAAGAGGGTTCAGTAGCAGCTGCTGCATGCTGAGACGCACACGCAGTCAGTGCCACAATGTGCCATAGCTTTTGTTTGCTGGACTTGCCCCACTATTCACCATGTCATGTTGGGACGTGTGCATCAATTCTTCTTGCTCAGGCAATGCAATTTGTATCGGCGCTGTCCTGATGGATGGTCGTTTGATCGACCTCGCGGTCTCCGACCAGCTACTGGCTGGTTGGCCAATGATTTGTATGGCCGATGGGTCGTCACATTGCGACGGGATATCCTGCTGCTTTCGCGAAAGCAAAGTTGATGCCTTTTGGTTCCTGCTGTAGGATAAGCTGTTTCATGAACGGCTGGTAAGTTTGGGGAGGCCCTTGAATTTCTTTGATCTGCGGACTCGTGTCCCCACAGCATGCTACATACTCTCAAGTCGAGTGTTGCCGAGTGCAGGGGATGAGTTTTGTGATCAGCTTGTCGAGCTGGTCCCCCGGGTTTAAGGACAAGAATTATTCATGCTCTTTCGCCATTCTTTTGCGTTCAGATAATCCTACCTCATGAAATCTCCTGGCTTGTGGCCTGAAGAGCAACACGATCATGTCATCTACCACCTCGCAGCAACACCAACTTGGCTTTTCCCATGTCGTCCCCATTCCCTGTGTGGAGCGTGTGATCTCAACACTCTGCCACTACCTCACCGTCGCATCGTGTTGTAATTTGCAGGCTCCCAGCACGACAGAGCTCTAAGCATGGACGGATCTTGCCTTGTTCGCGGAAGGCATCGGACGGCACGTCGCTGTTACTTTGCGTATGATTGCAGTCATGGAGTGTGTCGTCGCCGCACCTCTGCAACTTCCATTCCTTACCATAATTTGTTGAATTGCAGCGAGGGCACGATCTCAGCCTAGTCTTCGTGCGATGTCGGTCCGTCCTGTCACACTCGTGTGTCCTGAGAGAGGCTCCAAACCGGGATTTCACATCCTTCGTGTTTAGCACAAGCTGAATCAGATGATGTGTCACTTCCAGGAGTCTGTTGCCGTATTCCTGTCTGTTTCCTCGGCTCAGGTGCAAACTAGTCTTGATGTCTTGATTGGTCTAAGAATTCCCGCAACATTGCGTGGTTTGATCCTCGTTATCCCGCAGCACATCCTAAGCAGCCCTGAAGAAACTGTCGTGGTTTCCGCTGTCTGTCGCCATGGTTCGAGGCCATTTCGTGGGTTGTGTGCTTGCTCGTATACGGCTTGGATCGTAAGGGGGACCATAAGTGTCCAAAGGTGCGTTCATGTTTCATCTCGAGGGTCATTGTTGCCCCAAGAAGGAATTACCAACATCCCAGCATGATGACAACTGGACAGCTGTGTTCAAGCTATGTTGCCGTGGGTTTCGTCCTACTTAAAAAATCAGCCGCGAGCCATGTCCGCACTCCAGAAAAAGATCCCCTGCAAATTCTGTTGCATCTGCTCCGTGCACCGCAGAAGAGGCTTTTGCATGGGGGCATAAGAAGAAGAGACGGACTCCGAAGGAAAGGGGTGGTCCCAGACAGTTCTGCCCATTTTTTTTATAGGCTAGCACCAGACCCACTAGACCTGGCCTGAAGAATTTTCAGGTTTCGAGGCTCTCAGTTCCAACAGAGTTTTGGCTCCGCGTAAGGAGCCGTAGAGACCTCCGGACCGCAGTCAACAAGCGCTCACAACCCCTGGTGGGCAGGTTTGGAAGCATGAGCAGGCAAAATCACGCGCAGACGGCGGAAGGCTACTTTCAAGTTCTGCTGCGAGGGCTTGTTTCGGAGCAGGGGCGGGATGTTGCAAATCAGTGATTTACATGCAGGTGGTTACAAGGGCTCTCGGCTTGCGTGGTTGTCTCAACTGGCTATGAGGTGTGGCGTGGACCTAGAGTTTGCCGGGAGAGGCCTCGGACGTCCTGTACATTCCCACTTTCGCCCGCTGCCACACAGCCCAGACGAGTGCGACTTCCGAAGTCCGTATTTCTCGCAGCACGCGTGTCAACATAGACGCCCAGGTTTCAGCAGGTGCTTGATGCCAGGCTGCAGTGACTGCAGTGACTGGTGTTCAAAAAGCCAGTGCAGACCGTTTACCTATGAAGCAAGCCATGCAAGCCATGCAAGCCTGCAGGCTTCCTTCTAACGGTCGGCATCACGGTGCAGCGTTTGCACCTGCTTGGCTGCTGCAGGGGCCCCTGGCACAGGGGTGCAGGTATGAGGATGTTTGGTTGTGTGTAATCAACTTAGCAGGCAACTCACGGACCAGACTCGATGTGGGGCTACCTTGTGCGCTACCTGAGTTGGAAGGGCTGATAGCTTCGCCGATTCTTTTCTTGCTGGGAAGAATCAAGTACCACTGTCGCGAAGCGGTTTCCGTGCCAACAATGTAGATTTGGATGATGTAGGACTCCATATCGACCTCTTTGCAATTTGCAAGGCCACTTTCCTTCACTGTGACTTGCAGGGACAACGGCCGAGGTTTTGTCAAACACCATGTGTCGGATCGCAAAACTTCATGCGATGGTGGAAACAGACGGAGCAGGATGCACATCGGGGCGAAACGCGTTGTGTCGCAGTGAGTTGACATGGTGAGACCCTCGCCCCGAACCAATACCCCGCTAAGCCTACGCTAGCAGCAGCAGTTCACCCCCCTCCCCTTGTCGGTGATCGTGCCATTCAGCTCTTTTGGCGATGTACGTAAGACTTGAGGCTTGAAGCACCATCGTTGCGCAGCATAGTTCTCGGCTTGCACAAGTGAGGCTGATGTGCACAGATGATGGCCCGTTGAAGACAGCGGCTCTGACGCTTGGATACCATTCTGGACTGCTGGCTCTCAGAGTAGTGCAAGAGATTAGAACTTATACAGGATCAGCAGTCAACATGAATCAAAGCTGTCATGATTTGACCCAGCTGTGTCTTATCGTCAGCGTTTCGTTTCTGTGCGCAGCAAGTGTCGCCAAAGAACACAAAGCTCCAAGGAGCATGGTGGACATGATCAAGGCAGCCACATCAAGCTTAGCAACTTGTCCGCATCTGGGAGAAGCTGCGTTGGCGGGTCAATGCTTGGGAAGCGCGGCCCAAGACTTGGTGAGGGCGGAAGCCGAGCGAGGAAGCGACCTCCAGATACGTTCTTGTATGTATGGTGTTTTGGTGCTCGGGTGGCTGCAGCTTCCTCGCAAGCTCTGAACAGCGCACACTCTGATGGATGCAATGAAATCAACCCATGTCTGTCTGGGGGAAAGCACATGTTGTCTTGGGGCTACTTGTTTTTCTCAAGGCCCTGATGATGATGATGATGAGTCGTGTATGTACTGCTCCAGTTTCGGGCTCCAAATTCTCCTGCCTTGTCATTTCATCTTGAAGCCCACGGCAGCAACAGGGCTGTGCAGATCGCGTTATTTGGAGGAATTTCAGGACAAGCTTTCTGCAGGAAGCATGGAGTTAGATGCGCTGACTGAATAGGCGCACCGGCAACATCAGTGCTTGAGACCGATGCCCCTTTCAAATCAACTCCAACTGTCTGCTTTTGCGAGCTGAAGGCTGTGATTGTTAACAGCTTGTTAGCCGCTCGCAGTTTGGAGGTTATGGTTTATGATTACTGTCGGTAGTCTTGTGAGCTTACTTCAGCTTGTGGCGTGGTGTCGATTCACTGGAATTCAGCGACTGCGTAACTACACAGGTCTTGCAAGGTTTCGGACAAGCACCTGCTCCGTGTTTCGGCAGTCGTGCCAGCAAGGATTGCCCAGGATTTCGCATACATCGGTTAAGTGTCAGATCTCGCCAACAAGCAGCTGGCGCACTTGCTATCTTATGCGAATGCTACCTCGAGCTCTTCACCTCGGCACCTCTATGTGTCAAAGGATTTGTTCCGTAGAGTCACATGGCGTTGTTGCGGAAATGAAAGATCACACTGTTGGTAGGTTGCATGCAAAAGTTTTTGGTGCACAGTGCAAGCTGCGAAGCCAGGTTGGGATCCGGTGCAAGCTAGGAAGAACAGTCGGTGCCAAACGACTGAGGATCTGGGCCTGGCAGATCCAACAGCACCGTATCGATTCTTTGTGTACGTGGACATCAGGTCCAGCGACAGGTCATAACTACAAGACAGCACCTTTTTGATGTTGCACGAGGCGTCATTCAGCCCCTGCGAGCTTCCATGCAACCAGTGCAGTCGCCAGCCCGTGCGCAGAGGTGAGTGCGTGTCTGGACAAAGGCTCATTGTAGCAGCGGAAGCTTACATGGGACACTGCGATCCACATAAGGCGTGCAAAACCAAGCATCGCACAATGCAGGATGCAAGTGATGTAAGGAGAGGACTGGGCTTTTGCCAGGAGCAACCGTTATGTCTTGCCGGTTGTTGTGGCCTGTGTGAGCTTTTTTTTCTGGTGAAGTGGGGTGCCATGTCGGTGCTTTTGACTTGACCACCCCGGCTCAGGACACGTTGTAGCAGATTTTGTAGCACTCCAAGCTGACCACGCCTGTCTGGTCTTTATCACTCCATATCGAATCGTTTTTGGCTGCAGCGAAGCCAAGCGAGCGCCGCCCTTTTTCTTTGCATCTTTAGTGCCTCAGCCTCCGGTCGCCGGTCGACTCGGACTCGCATGGCTGGTTGCACTTGGATGCGGAAGGCACAAGGCCTGAGCCTGAGTTGAGTCTTGCAGCGCAAAGAAGATAGAGTCTAGAGATCGAAAGCGCGGTGGTGTTCGGTAAAGGCGCTTGGGGCTGCGAGCAGCGGAGCTCGAAATAAGGCCCAGCCGCGACTGCTGCGACTGCGACCACCGCGACCGGTCCAGCTGCGGCCGTGCATGGCAGCCACATGGATTCGCGCGGTGGGCGTGCGTCGCCTTTCATTCGAGGCATCCTCCACGTTCCCATCCGAGTGAGTCACTTTTCCGACTTAGCCCTTCCTCGCCCCAAGCTGTAGAGTCTGGGGTGTGGGGTGCAGCTTCCGTAACTCCAATACTTCCTGCCGCCCCGCGGCCCCGAAGATTCGTAGTCCCGTAATTTCGCAACATCGCGCAACTTTTGCGTGTTTTGAAAAATCATGGATGTGACACGGTGTGACTGCGAAAGCATTGCGTAGCTGTGCATACCTGCGATGCCTTCGCTGGTTTGCCGGCTTGCGGCTTGATCGTTCAAAAAAGTTTGTGAGACCGGTGTGGACATTTTGCCCAGTTGGGGTCCGTCGACAGCTAGTGGCGGCTGCAGCGCTTGTTTATTCAGGCAAGTCTGGCCCCGACCCGTATGCAATTACAAGCAAGATTGAGTGAGTGAGTGAGTGAGAGAAAGAGAGAGAGAGAGAGAGAGAGAGAGAGAGAGAGACAGCCACCTCAACCTCAAGCAGAGACAGGCAGGGGAAACATCCCCGTCACTCAGACAGCCAACCGCTTCACTACAGCCACAGCCCACCGACAGGCTAGGCAGCAAGCGGCAGCCAGTGCAGCAGCGGGGGCAGAAGCCCCAGAACCAGAGGAGAGACCCCACCACAGAACAGCCAAACCACCCACCAACAACACTGCACCTCCACAACAACCACCCACAACAGCAGACACACACCCACAAGTCGAGCCACAAGCCACCACAGCCGGAGGAGAGCAACAGCAGACCGATCACTCTCCGCCGCAGCCCAAAGCAAAGCCACCGCAGCCACCAAGCAACACCAGCACCGACCACAACAACACCCCGACTGCAAACACCACGGACGCCAGAGGGGGAGACGCCCCACCCGGACTCACTGTCCGGGAAGCATACCTTTACGCCACCACGGGACAACTGCCGGATGACCTGGCGACAAGAGCAGAGGAGGAAGAGGAGGAAGAAGAGCCACCAGCAGCAGCAACACAAGGCAGGCGCCGGGAACCCGCCAGAGCAAGCCAAAACAAACACGAAGGCGGGGGCGAACAACGCACCCGAAACAAACGGGAGAAGGCTGCCTTGAAGGCCTGGCTCCGCAGGCATGGCTACTCGTGGGGGTGGAGTGCCAACAGCACCAGGAGAAGCTCCCAAGGCCCACGAGCCCGAACCCCACAACCACGGCAGCCCCAGCAGCAACAAGGAGGGGAAAACCCCAGGCCCAGACCAGGTCGGCCGTATGTATCCCCAGAAGAATCAGCCCGCCTAGCCGAAATGCTGAACAGGCACCTGCTACCACGACCAGTACCAACACCAGCCGAGCCGACAGACGGAGCTTCACCAGCGAACACCCAGCCACCAGAGGGGCAACAGCCCGACCACAACACACAGAGCAGCAACACAGCCGACACAGCCACTCAGCAACCACCCAGCGGGGGACCACAGCCACAACAAGAACCAAGAGCAAACAACCCAGCGACAGACACAACCACCGGCACCAGCAAAAGCGACAGCCAAGCTGCAGCGGACCATGAGGAGCGGCTCCGGCGCAACCCCTACCTCCAGCACAACACCAGACCAGAGGAAGCAAGACCACCTGCTCAACAGCAGCAACAGCACAGCGGGGGGAACCACCCCAACCAACAGCCACAGCACCCAGCCGGGGGGATTACACCAGAAGGCGCGCAGGCACACTTTCAGCACTTGGACGAACATGCCAACAGAGAAAGCCACATTAAGCGCCGTGGCCCGCCGCAGCTACCGCACAAAGCAAGAACAGAGATGCTATGGGTGGCGGCCGGAAAAGGCAAGTGGGTAGCTCGAGTGGAGGCCCTACCGGGGGGAGCAAACCCCACTAAGCCCAAGGAGGAGCCGCAGCGGGGACTCAACCCAACAGGTCAGGAACTGTGGACAGCCCCTCCCTTTGGGGACGGCACCATCCTCGAGGTCGAGACCACAATGGGGTACGCATACCTCATCACCATACTCAGCGTCCCAGCACCGCACCGACAAGAGGGGGGAACCCTCATCGCAGAACCAGGGCAGGCCTTTATGCTGGAGCAGATCCAAGACATATGGATGCTTAGACCTGCCGGGGGACCACGCCATGGACCACCCAAGAGGGGATACCGCCCTCCGCCACCTGGAGAAGGCCGCGCAGTTGGCAACAGCACGAACCCAGGCATACCCTTCCGAGGGGGACAACAGCCAGCAAGCGGGTCAACCGACCCACAAAGGGGAGCAGCCCCGAAACAACAACCACCACCGTCAAGTGGCAACAAGCCCGGAAGCACCGACACAGCCACCACCCAACGACAACAACAGCAGCAACACACGAGCAGTGCCAGCTCCTCTTCCAAAGCAGCAGGGAAAGCCATTCCCAAAGCCACACCGCCAACACCACAAGCCACACCACCCAACAACGATTTCCGCGACAGCCGAACCCTCAGAGGGCAAACCAAAGAGGAGCCACCCACGAGAGAGGAGCAGCCACAGCAGCCACAGCAACCCCACAAACACTTCTTCGAGATAATACGCGACAACCGTGGACTAGGAGATGACAAAAAGAAAAAGGGGGAGGACCCAGACGACAACACCGAGCTGTGGCAGCGACCTCCCCCAACCACCACGACCACCAGTACCACAACCACCACCCCCACAGACTGCCGCATTGACTCAAGCGAGCTTGCAGGCAACACAACAGACGAAGAAGCAGTGGGGCTAACACGCAGACGCAGAAGAGACAGCAGACACATCGGCAAGCCCCGAAGCCGCAGCAGAAGTCCGCCGCCCACCAGCAGACCACCACCACCACAACACGAACAGCCAAGCAGCTCCACCAGCACACTGTCACATGCCAGCACCATCGCAGCCCTACGTGGGGGTATACAAGCCACAGCAGCACAGATCCAGCTCATACACGAAGTAACAACCAACATGCAGGGGGCAGAAAGCACCGTCATAGCGAACATTTGTGCCAATGCCCTGCGCATGCTCAGCGAAAGCAGCGCAACAGCAGGAGTGTTAAGAAAAAACACAGAACAAGCCTTCCCATCGGCAGTGGGGGAAGCATACCGATGCGCCACAAGCATGCGAGTGAGAAGGGGGGACAGCCTCACCCCAGAAGAGTATGCCACAGATGTGAGTATTCTACGCAGCATGGTGGAACAAGGCATCCAGGACCTACCACAGGGGGAAGCTAGCTCAGCCAGCCATGCAGTACTACGAGCCCGCGCCCGCCTGCAGAAAGCCTACGAGATGCTGGACGCGGTCATCCTGCGCACCATGGGGGGAGACCGACAGTGGAACGACCTCAAATGGTGGGACGCTTTACTTGACCACCTCGCTCCAGCAACACTCATAGCGGAGCAGGAGGGGGAACGCCAAGAAGCACACCCAGCTGACGTTATCGCCCTCGACAAAAGGGACAAAGAGTGGACAACCAGAACGAGCACTACCATGTCGGCGACAATGCAGCTGCTGGAAGCAGCAGCCGAGCTACGAGAAGCGGCTGCATTCATGGGGGACGGTGACCTCGCACCAGTCCTAGCTGTCCTGCATGCAATCGAAGCTTGGCAGAACTCCCTGTTTGGGGGGATGCAAGCTGTGAGTGACGAGACGCAAACAGAGCCAGTACCAGAGACCGACATGGGGGAGCAAAACGCGCCGCATGCAGCCGGAACAAAACGGCGCTGGTTCGCGCTCTCACCGGGGGTCAACCAAGAAGACATGGCCGCCCTAGAGACAGACAGCTTCCTGGCCGACCTTGCCGAAGTGGAACTACTACCTACCTTGCCGGAGCTGGGGGAAGCTGGGGAAAGCCAACAAGCCACGCTGCCATGGACACCGCCGGCACCGGAGCCGCTGGGGGCAGCCGCAGACCTCCTAGCACCCAGTGAGGGGGAGGAGGAATCCGAACCCAGCCCTGAGGGACACCGGCGTAGAAGAATGCTTGCTATCTTTTATGACAGGCACGGCCCAATTTAAGGGGGAGAATGCTGTTCACCTTCAGCCCGAGCCAACCTGTCATCGCAGCAAGCAGAGAGTCAGGGGGAAGAACAGTAGCAGCACAAGGGGACAGTTCTAAGGTTTGCTGATCGGTTGCTTTTCCTTGTTTTACTGCCCAAGCCCACCTTGACTCCCAAAGCCCAAAGTTCACCAAACTTGGCAAAGGGGAAAACGTCTTTCACTCTACTAGGTCTCTGCACAGTGCATCCCCAGTGCTCCCTAAACCATCTACGATAGCTTCTTGTTGCTTTAAGGGGAGCAAAGCCAAACAGTACGCCTAAACCACGGCATGGGGAAAAAATGTTGTTCTCTCACACTTGGCAAGCTGTCTGCGCAGTTATATCCCCAACGCTCCCAGTACACATAGTCGGTACCCTAGTGTTTTTGTTGCTTTGTCGTGGGGGGAGCGCATGCCGAACCGTAGGTACTGCTGGGGGTTGCTGCCTGTCGAGGGTCTAAGGAACTAGCTATAGAGAGCGCGGCGATGAGGCCGGGAAGCGCGATAGTGTACAGGGTTTGGGGGGGGTAACCGACAGGCAGACGCTTCCAACTGAACCGACCATCGGGGAAAAATTCCCGTGCACAACAGCCCCAAAAGCCTCTTTCCCACCCAACAATGGGGGAAAGGGGGCGCCTTGGCGCGGGCTTCAGCCGAAGCCTGACCCCTGTGAAGCGAAGCGAAGCGAAGAGAGAGAGAGAGAGAGAGAGAGAGAGAGAGAGAGAGAGAGAAAGAAAGAGAGAGAGAGAGAGAGAGATAGATAGATAGATTGAAATAGAAAGATAGATAGATAGAGAGAAGGAACTATATAGTCAAGACCCCCGATGCACTTGTCCATTTCTAGCGACGTCGCACGAACTGTGCTATCCGCAGGCCTACTGCAGCAATCTAAACATAGCGGCAGCATCACGTTCGAGCGCCTGGAGGTTGGGGCTTATGACTCTACCGCTGTCTCTGAGTAGCCGTAACTTATGTCGCGGCTTGTGCAGGCTAGCCCTCGCTGCCTTGCACGATGCCGCGGAGCCGGACCTCGTGAGCTTCAACAGCGCCGCCGCGGCTTGCGCCCGCGCCACGCAGTGGCCTCAGGCCTTACGGCTGCTTGGAAATTTAGCAGCCAACGCTTTGCGCGCCGACCAACGCACCTGGACACCGCTGCTGCCAGTGTTGCCTTGGCCCCGTGCATTGCAAGTTCTCCGACATTTGGAAGCGCGTTCCCTGCACTTGGATCCACCCCTGCTGTCTGCGGCTGTGGCAGCCACGGCTCGGGCACGCGCCTGGGCTGCGACGCTCCAGCTGCTAAACGAACTGCGTGCTCGGGACAAAGGAGGGCGAAGCTTCGCCGTGGGGCTCAGTGCGGCCATCCAGAGTCTCGCAAAAGCCTCACGTTGGCGGGCAAGTGTGGGCCTCATGCAAGAGGCTCACGAAACCCGGCGCCTGCAGGACGACGTCGTTCTGCTGTCGACCTGCCTCCTTGCTTGCAGAGCTGGGGCCTTGTGGCAGCTTGGGCTCGGCCTGCTTCAAGATGGCGCGGAGCTGCCAATCACGGCGGCCGCACCGTACAACTCGGCGATCAGCGTCTGTGCCGAAGCATCGCAGTGGCAGACTGCACTGCAGCTGCTCGCTGATGCAGAGCGCCTTGGCATCCTGGATATCACCACTTGCAATGCGACCTTGGCTTGATTATTGCAATATGGCCTTGGCCGAAGGTAGCACAACATGTACGGTGACGGGACTGCAAGGGAAGCGATTCGCTTTTAAACAAAGTGTCCTGGATCTTTGGTTCCTTTGCGCCTACCCCCTTGAGAGAAGCAATTTAACCGCTAGCGCGAGAGCCGCTGGGAGCCGGCCCCGAGCTCGGTCATGCATCCCCGGCTGTTTCATGCGTTGCCGATCAACGTTCAAGGGATTCAAGCCACTCGCTACGCCTTTGCCGCTATTTGTGACGATGGCTCGTTCGTCACCTGGGGTCGTGCTAAACATGGTGGTGACAGCAGCCCCGTAGAGGAACAGCAGACCGATGGCGAAAAGTAGTAGAATCTGCACAAACAAACATCCTGCTGGCATGGTGTGAAAGCTGAACAGACAACGCAGCGGTCTGCTGTCATCCCTACATCGGGGCACTGAAAGAGCGCCCAGTGGGAGAGGAAGAAGCCGGCGGAAGAGGAGGCGGGGGGGGGGATGGAGGCTAATCACGCAGAAAAGCAAAAAAACAACCACAGAAGTAGCTCCGAAGACTAACCTGTGACGGAATCGCACAATCACCCAGCAAAAAGGCCCCCTAAAAGTAAAATTCCAAGAAGCCGGTTGGCGGTGTGGGAGGAACATCGAAAACCAGCCCAACAAAAGCATCAGCATGACGCTCGATGTATTCTTCCGGGGTGGTGGGCCTTCGGCGGAATTTCGAACACCGATCAGCATTCAGGAAGCCCTTGCCTCGAGGGGTAACCTGCCCTGTGTTGCGGTTATCTTGATTTGCTCAGAGATTTGTAAAGCCGTACTGTGGCTCTGTGCCTCGATGTGAATCTCAGCTTGAATTGGTGCCTGTCGTTTTTGGGTTCTGGTAGCCATGCATCGAAGGCTTCGATCACCGCCTGTGACCGGGGACACGCCTGGCAGCATGCGATACAAGTCCTGCGAGTCGCGAAAGAGCATCGCGTACATACCGATGCATTCAGCTCCTGGCCTGCAAAAGACAGGAATGGCACCCTTCCTCCCAGAAAGAGGCCTTGTTTAGAGGCAGTTGACACAGAAGGCAGAAGAAAGACGCGTCTCGATGGGTTGGCATACTGTGAAGCGCGTATGTTCGGCATAATTGGTCTTGGGAAGAAAGTAGCCCATGACCTTGCGGCACATGATGCTTGAGGGATTCGGTGTGGGAAGCAGTACTGATAGGCAGCGCGCGAGACGGATCTGTTGGCATCACAGGACTAAACTGTCCCCGTGCTTTCGAGGTTCTGCTGCAGCTGTGAGTTCTTGTGCCTCCGCCGCGCAGTGGAGGATGGCTCTGGGTCTCTTCGTCAAAGAACTTCCAGGCCGGGGTGGATTTTCGGTCAGGGTTAATGCTAGGATAATGCTACTGGGGAGCTCAAAACCCATGAAGCGAACAGGCATATAAGCAGAACGGGAGCCCATTGGGAAAAGGAGCGTCGCAGCTGATGGGGAGGTCTGGTCTCTGCTTCTGTGTCTGTGCGAGTGTCTTGATGCCCAAATTGAGGAGTTACGTAGTCTGATCCGGCGAACGATCTTGTTTCCCATGCTTTGCGATTCGCCTTGAGTGGTGGTGGTGTTCTGGTTTGACGTCATGACAAGTCTTCCCAGCAAGCTTTGCGAAGCATACAGGCACACTGCTGCTCAACGGAGGCCCCTTTGCTCTGAGTGCGCTTCTGGCTGCTTGCGGCGCCATGCGACAGTGGGAACATGGTCTGGCAATTTGGCAAGGACCATGCTCCGGGCTTTCAGCACCTGTCCCTGGCGACGTGCAAAGAACCTCAGTCCGATTCACAGTAGCACGCATGCATCGAGGATGGCCCGCCGGAAGGGACCTTGACCTCACTTGCCAGAATGCAGCCCTGTATCTCCTCGCGCCTTTGGGTCGCTGGATGGCGGCGCTGCAGGCGACCGTTGAAATAACGCATCGGGAGGTATAATCGTGAGGCAGCGAGTGTGGAGCTTGATTGGGCTTGGGCATGTTGGTTGCGTTGGATTTCGCTCTTTTGTGCTCTTGCAGGTGCTTGATGCCATGTGCTCCTTGGTGAAGGAAAGACATTGGATCCTTTCAGCTGTGCAATATTCGACCATTGTCAGCTCGTGAGAGGAGTGTGGCGTGTGAGTTGGTTCTTCTTGCATCCGGGTTATGTCCCGGCTTTGAAACTTCCCATCGCATGGCTTGTATCGAGAATTCTGACACGTGTGCAGTTTTCCCAGACACCAGTTACCGAACCCGTAGCCGGAAGTAGCCTTCTGCAAAAACGGTGCAGTGCTTCCGCCAAAGCCTAGGCTAGCGTCGGAGCCGCACCCACGGGTGGGGGTCGTCTGGGTCCATGATTTAAGCTCGAGCTGTTACACGGTTACACCTCGGAAAGCTTTTGCTAGAGTGAGCGACGACCTTCGCATCTCTTTAGCCCGTTCTGCCGATAGCTAGGAGGTGCAAGAGTGTATTCTTGGACGCATGAACTGAGGCGCTTTGGGTACAACGGACGCACTCAGCGTGGAAGCGTGTCGAAAATCCTGTGAGGTGCGGCAGTGTGTCATTAGAATTTCTGGAAAGCAGCTTTTCCCAAGTCGCAGTCCATGAAAGCTGAGCTTCACAGATTCTGACATCTTCATCCCTTGAATTCTGGCCAGAATTTTGCCGTGTTTTATGTCAGGTTGCAGGTGCGTGGCCCCCAATGCCACACCTCTGGCAGGCTGCAGCAAAAGAGGCCAGGCACAGCAGGAACACGCCTTGCATCTTGAACCTTTGCGTTCTCCTCTTCAGCCGACCACACAGACGGAGCACCTTTTTCACCTACTGCGCAAATCAAGCAAAGGCCTTGAAAGCCAAGCGCTCTTTTTGGGATTCGGACAACCAGGAGAGCCTCCCCTCTCCCCATTCTTCACTCCGCTCTGGGAGCTGAGCTCTGAGCTCTCCTGTCACTTCTAACTGCCTCCTGCGGCCTTGGCAGCCGAAACGCCAGGCATCCTCGCCGAAAAGTCTCCACTCAATCGCAGAAAAATTCGGGGTAGGGATGCCCCTGGCACGGGCGTGGGGTATGCTGGGGTTCTCGAAGAGTTCCAAAGCAGCAGCTTGCCTTCGAAGCAGAAGGCCATGCTCTCCAGATCCAGAGCGAACGACTTCGCCGAGGCAGTTGGAGGCAGTGCTTTTGAGGGGCCCGAGGATATTCCAATTCTGACTTGGATGAGGTGTTGCATGGTCAGGCGTAGCGGATCATTGCATCAGAGATGATCTATTGCAAGTGTCTTGTCTCTGCAAAGCAGTCGCGTTCTTGGGCGGGTTTTCAAGGTGCCATAAGGTGCCCAAGCTACCAACCGTTATGATACTGGAGAAGCGGAAGCGACCGAAAGCCGACCGCTGCTCCCGCGCAGAGTCGACGAATCGCCGGCTGCGCCTGGAGCGGCTGCTTGGTGACGGCACGTCGAAGACTAGTGGGGCTGCTGTGAAAGTCGCAGGTTTGTGGGAGCACAGATTGAGGCTTTTAGCTGTCGGAGACGACTCCGTGGCAAAGTGCCGGTTTGTTGCCTTCCTTCTGCCTTCCTTCCCTCCGCCGAGTATTCGATAGAGGCAAGCTGGCGCACTAGCAAATGAGGCACCTCCAACCAGCACGATTCGAGGGAAAAGGAAGTGAAGCTGCTCCATGCGTAAGACTGAAAGAGCAGGAAGCATGTTCTGAGTGTAGATGGGGCAGCAGCACGGCAGGGGGCGTTTGAACGCGGCTGGGCAAGAAGAGCGACAACACCACCAGGATTGCAAGCAGGCAGTCAGTAAGCACGTGGTGAGATGCAAACGAATGGTGTGAGAGACTACGAGAGAAACTGACGATGTTCTGACATGTCCTGACGGAAGATTTCGCCCAGACACGTGCGCTACATGAAAGGCACAGAACAACGCCCGACCGTGGAAATAGAACGATGTTGGGGGGAACTACAGTCCACACCCGGAAATGCGGTCAGTCTGCCGTCATCCTGAGGCTGAGAAGCTGTCTCGGAAAGTCGGGCCCAGGCGAGTGGGGGTGTCACGGCGGAGTTTTGGTGGTGAAGAGAACGCATTACTCTTCATTTGACGTGCAGAGGCTATCGGCGAAATGTGGAGTTCAACTTGTGTAGCCGGATTTTCTTGATCCTGCTTCGTGCATGCGCACCGGAAATATGTAGTACAGCGGAGGGTCCAAGCTGCTGAGGCACGTAGGAGGATGCGGAGGTCAGGCAAGGTTCTTCCAGAAGTGCTATGATTAACTTACACAGGTTATGCCCCAGCAATCATGTGCAATGGCTTCCCGTTGGGCTCCGCATGGTGCATGCTTGGCCTTGTCGGTCTGCATTCGCAACCTTGATGCCTGACCAGGCAGAGCACTCCGCAACCATGCTGATGTCGAATAGCGGCGAGAGAGAAAACAAGATGGACCGACCACCACTGTTGCAAGATGTCCGGCTTGAGGCTTCGTGCAGGCGTAACGCTGTAAGGATCTGCACTTCCCCACTACTCTTCAATCCCAGGTTGAAGGAAAGGGAAGCATTGCTGGTGAGCTTCGTGCACTAAGAAAGTTGAGGCTCTGCGGTCCTTTCCTCACGCTGATGCTCAGCTCACATTCATCTGTCGCTCTCACTTTGACTCTCACTCTCACACTCACTCTCATGCACTCTCACTCACTCACCCTCACCCTCAGCCACTTTCATTCACTTTCATTCACTCTCGCTCGCTCTCATACACCCTCTCTCCCTCCCTCCCTTCCTCTGCCTCTCACTCTCACTCACTCTCTCTCTCTCTCTCTGTCTCTCTCTCTCTCTCTCTCTCTCTCTCTCGCTCTCTGTCTCTCTGTCTCTCTGTCTCTCTGTCTCTCTGTCTCTCTGTCTCTCTGTCTCTCTGTCTCTCTGTCTCTCTGTCTCTCTGTCTCTCTGTCTCTCTGTCTCTCTGTCTCTCTGTCTCTCTGTCTCTCTGTCTCTCTGTCTGTCTGTCTGTCTGTCTGTCTGTCTCTCCCTCTCTCTCTCTCTGTCTCTCTTTCTTTATCTCTTTCTTTCTCTCTCTCTGTGTGTCTCTCTCTCTCTGTCTCTCTGTCTCTCTGTCTCTCTGTGTCTCTGTCTCTGTCTCTGTCTCTGTCTCTGTTGTCTCTGTCTCTCTCTCTCTCTCTCTCTCTCTCTCCGGTTGTTACTCTGATACTCTTTCGTTCTCGCATGTTCTCGCACTCTCGCTTTCTCTCACTCTCATTCTCTCTTTCTTTCCTTCTCCCTTTCTGTCTCACTCTCGCCGTTTCTCTTGGTCCCTCCCTCCCTCCCTCGCATGGTCTTCCTTGTCTTCTCTACCGCATTAACATTCGAAGGCCAGTCGTGTATAGCTGTTGTTTGTACAAATTGCACAGTACTCAGACACAGGCATGGCATTGGCAGCCATGTTGTGCACTTGCGACTTCAGCTCAAGCCTCAAACGTTGCCGGGGTGCTCACCATTAACTCTACTGCATATGCGTGTCTGCTGAACCGGGTACAAATGGAAGTACACGTGTTGTGTAACCCTTTGATCGGTTTGGGCTTTCTTTGCGCGTCCATGCAGCGGGCAGATGCGTCTGGAATATCGTCAAGTTTTGTCGATGCGTTCGATCATTGGGCATTGCGGCTGCCTACTCACATCGCAGTATGTGGGAGTTGTGTGTCTTGGACTTGGGAGGAGCTTTGCCAGAAATCACGTTTGGCAGAGAAGCACATCATTGCGGAGTGCAGAGCTGCGAAACGGTGCGGCAAAGCCATCGAGGTCGTTGCAATTCTCGCACATCGGTCACCGTGGTGGTTAGCTGCGAGTGTTGGGGTGATGCGATGCAACCTGCCGTTTGTGTGGATGGGAGCTGGGGAGCTTCCAGCCAAAGGGCGAAACGCAGAAAGACAGCGAAACGATCACATAATGCAGCTGTTGCATCCTGAGCTGCTCTTGCTAGACTCAGCTGCTGCACCAGAAGCAATTCCAGATTGGCAGCAGATGGAGAAGCCTCGCATCCTGGCTTTGGAGGCTCTGCAGGCGGATGTGTGCCAGGACGTCGAAGCAGTGACACTGAACACTGACAGGAGTGATCTCCCAGCCTTATGTTATCAGCTGACCGGTGGCACGACTGGATCATCAAAATGCGTGCGTGTATCACACGAGATGGCACTGCACGAGTTCGCAACATACGCAAAGGTTTTCAAAGACCTCAGTTCGCAGGATCGCGTGTTGCAGCATACTCCCGTACTGTGGGCTGCCAGCGCCATTGGCCAAATCAATATTGCAGTCAGTGTTGGGGCTTCTATATGTATTGCTGGCATGGATCAAGACTCCATTTCAAGGCATGGCGCGACTGTTTTGGGGACAGTCCCATCTGTGCTGCAATCCATCAACCCACATGCTGTTCCCACTGTTCGTCATGTGTTTTGCTGGGGTGAGCCCATGTCGCCCGTTCTGGCGGCACATTGGAGATCGGAACAACGTCGTGTCATTGAGCTTCTCATCAGCACGGAGTACTGGTTGAGTGTGTACAGTGAGGGCGAAATATCTCCAGAAGGCAGGCCAATTTATTCCTGCGTGCCTGGCGCCGAACTCGCGGTTCTTCAAGATGGCAAGCTCTGCACAGACTGTGGTGCAACTGGACAGCTCTGCCTGCGTGGACCAATGGTCACTTCGAGGCGAAGCATGTCCTGGCTTGAGTTCAGCGTATGAACAGTTTGAGTTGGCAGGTATTTGGGCCCACATGCAGTTTCGACCGTAGCACCGCCAGATGGTAGTGACCGCCTCTCAGCTACCTCGATACTTTTGGGTGCTTGAAATTTGATGTACGAGCCAGTAGCTGATCCCAGGCATCTTTCTTCAGGGCACAAGATGTCGTTGCGTGCCAAGTCTGTTGGCACGGCGGGCGATGCACACAGAGCTCGTGTCTGGCCAACTGAGGTGACTATCGTCAGCCAGAACCCGTTGCAGTTGGAGTTCAGAGGGCGCAGCGACATGCTGGTCAAGGCGACTTCGTGCCCTCCAGACCGTTGAACATCCCGCTACAAATCTCATTGCGATTCTATGTCTTGCAGAGGTCGGCGGGCAATTCGTGGATCTCGCAGAAGTGGAGTTGCGCCCGTGTCCAAGAGCTCTCCGACGCTGTGCAAATTTGTTTCCATCTAAAGTTCAGGTCTCAAGGCGAAGCTGTTGCCACCACCTGAGCAGACGGTGAGAGAGTCCGACGTTTTTGCTGACGAGGCAGGGGACCTGGGGTTCCAAGATGAGCTTGCATAACTTCATAACTTCAAGGCAGCAGACAGGCTCAACATGGCTTCAATCTGTCAGTGCTGACATGCTCCAGAGGCAGACATTGACATCTGCGGCTGGCAATCGTAGGAGTGCATGCGAGGTCGTTGTGATTCCAGCTGATGCAGAAAGCGCAGTCCCAGCGCACTTGGACTGCAGCTACAGAGGGATAGGGTGGCGAACAACATGAGATACTTTTTTGTTAGCGCAGTTCTGCTTAACTTGAAGCGGGGTCCGTTCGTTGCCAGCTTTCCCATGGAAGCTCTGAGGCATGTCTTCGTGACGGTGCTTGACCACAGATGCAGCTCTGCTCGCAGGCCCGAGTTGACCTCCGCCACCTGCGCGATGCTGGTGGACCCCTGCTCCTCTCTCTTTGCGCGCGTGTGAGCGCGCAGCTTCTCTGCCGGTGGACTCGGCACTCGCACGCTCGCGCACACTCTCGCCTTCTCGCCCTGTCCTTCTCGCTCTCGCGCTCTCGCCCTCTCCTTCTCGCTCTCTCCTTCTCGCTCTCTTCTTCTCGCTCTCTTCTTCTCGCCCTCTTGCTCTCTCTCGCTCTCTCTGGCTCTTTCGCTCTCGCTCGCTTTCTCTCTCTCGCTTTCTCTCTCTCGCTCTCGCTCTCGCTCTCGCAATCGCCCTCTCTCTATCTCAATCTCTCTCCCTGTCTCTGACCCCGGAGTCCTTATGCTACATTCGCCAGAATCCGAAAATTTCCGAGTCTAAAGGGCCTCGTGGACAGCATAGCTGTCGCAAAACGGCAGTTGTACACTTGGAGTTTCAGGATGCTGGCTTGTGCGCGGTCTCTGGTGCCTGCTGGCGCCGCTTTGCACTTGCTGGGCAAGCCATTGCCCAAAGCTTGATGCTTAGTTGCTGAGCCGAGTGCCGCATGGTATCACCTTGACCTCCTCGGAGTCTCTCCCCTGTCAGGATCCAGTTTCCGGTAAAGTGGATCGGCGCACATTGCTGCGTGGCTGCCGGCTTGGCGGAGTCAGTGAACCTTTCTGGAGCATCCCACGTAGACAGTAAGGCCTTGTTGGAGAGGCCAGGACAAGGCCTGTCTGGACAGCGCTGCGTACCAGGTTCCGGTCTGGCGCTGGGAGGCAGGATGTTGTCATTGCCTCCATATCTGCACGAGGTTGAAAATGCAGCCATTGTGGTTGCTCGCCGTCGCACTTTCGGGGGCATTGAACCTGAACGCTCTGCCAGAATCCCGGACTCAGTGTGAGTCAGGAATGGCTGACGGTCTCTTTCTGTGATATGAGACTTCCTTCAAGGTTTTGACGTGATCCGAAAGCCTACCATCTGATGTGAAGGATAAACCCTTCGGGCATTTTTTTGGATCATCAGATTGTTGCCAAACGCCATGCCCTGGTTCGTGGTCTCAGTCGGTTGCCTGCCATCGATGTGTTGTATAGATCCTGTTCATGCATCATTTTTCAATCAAGCTGCGGTTTCGAATTGCAATCCCAGAGGCTTAGCTGGTTCATCTGGCGCAAGCCGCCGGGCAGGCACGATGTGAAGTTCCTGGCACAGGTGTGCCCGAAGTGGCCCCATTCCCGTCGGAGGCCGGGCTGGCGAAGCCTTTCGCAGGCGTGCTGTCACGTGGCCTTGGTATCGGCCCTAGCTCAATCCAACTTTGGAGCGCTTGACAGCAAGTCTTGTGTGCACCTGGCGAGGCACCGTATCTTTGGCTGCTCTCCTTGTATATTCCTCCACGGACATGCAGGCTGCGGGCCACCTGATCCCAAAGTGAGCTAGAAAAATGTGCAGCTGCCTAGGTCTGTCTTCAATCTCATCCCGTTCGGACGGCTTGGGGCGTGCTTGCCTTTGCATGCTGCATGTGGTCAATTTCGCAAGGATGAGTTTGGCGAAGCCTTGGTTTCCAGTGTTGCCGGGGGGTTGTACACATCCAAGTTGCTTTGGACGTGACATAGGCTCGGCAAGACCTGGACTAATGCCGTCGAGTCTAAGTATGCTGCCGAGCGCTTTCATCCACATGTTGCTTGTGCCTCCTTGACTTGCAAGAATGCTGATGTTTGGGGCTTCATCCAAGTCCGACGATCGCAATATGAGCACGTTTGATTCAGTAAACTCTATTGCAACCTTGGTTCCGACAGCTTGAAGTC